GACTTCATTGCATCTTAACCTATACCAAAGTAGCATTATTCAAGATAATAATCTTTCCGTTCATAGGGGATTAAAAGTTATTTATGAAGAGAAATATTGTCAGGCAGTTAGATGCATGTGTAATGAAGGTTGGATAAGTATAGGGTTCTTCTTTTGACTATGTGTCGAAGAGAAAGAATGCTCCAATTGCTCAATGTTTTAAAGAACAAAATCTATGAGTATAAATTTAATGTAAAACTTCACACATAGTGGGGGCAAGAACTACTAATTTAATTAACTGAAGTTGCCAGCTAATCAAAAAAATAAATTAACTGAAGTTAACCAAAAAACTTTCCTCTGTTGCCTTTCATTTATGTCAAATCTTGATTTCTTCGCTTCTATGCTTTCTATAGATCCCACCTTGAATTTGGCTGGGTTATTAGTGCTCTAGTGAGGTTACAAATACACCCCTACTTCTCTTCGCTTATTTTAGTTATGAAAAATGATGCATCACTGACCACCAATGTGGACGAGGTGCTGCTTTCCTTTGTTGCCCTCTAGTTGCGTGGTAAACACAGGATCTTCGTTTCATCTACCATTGGAATGGTGATCCAAGTGGAGATGGCAACTAAAAATCGATAGACTATTCCTTTGTTACCAGAACATATCTTTATTAGTCATTTAATGCTAAACAATAATCATTAATTATTATATAATCAAACAATTATATTAATTGAATATGTTATTTACTATCTGCAACTTACTTTTCACAATCTACCACTTACTTTTCACAATCTACCACCCATTATTCACTAATCGTCATTTGTTATTTGTTACTCATTATCACTATTCACTATTTATTATTTGTTAAATTTTAACTATTATACCAAACAAACTCTAAATCTTATCGTTCAAGGTAAACATATGTATTAGATTACAAAATTGTAAATCTTATTGTTCAAGCTAAATATATATATCAGATTACAACACACAATTTTTTAGCATTTCTTCTAGTCTCATGATTTTTAATAGAGTTCATGCTTCATTCTTTTTGTTTTTATTTTGTTTTCATTTTTTATTTTTGAGTGTGTCAATATGCTTTATTTAGCTATCTTTCTATACTAAGACATTTGTTTGTTTATCCAAATTTTTTTTTTTTGGAATCTATCCTTGTCATATACAATATGAGGAATGAATTCAAGCAAGTTGTACGTTAATTCATTGATAGAAATAGACATAAAATTCACATACCTACAATCAGGAAGCAATAACATTTTTGATATTCTTGTAATGAGGATGACAATCATCATGTATTAATGACTGGTGCATGCTAGTATATGCATTGAGATAGAAATTAGTAAACAAGTTCAAACAAGAACATCTGCAAACGCAAAATAGTCTAAACTATTATATGAAGTTCAAAAAAAAAAAAAAGAAGTCTAAATTGTTATATCAAGTCCAAATTGTATGAACTTTGGGATTGTAGAATTTACTCTAGCTAGACTTCTCACCATGGCAATGAACTCCACCTTGGCTTCGATGATTCTTTCAGTGGGTTTATAAGATCTTGTTTATGATGAAAAGTAAAAAATGCTGCACAACCCATGGATTGGACAATACTCCACCACTCTATAAGGGAAAATAGGGTTAAAATGAATAAGAAATTGGTGGTCAACCAAGATGTTGAGGTTCACTTCCCCCAGGTGAGTGAGTGGAATTGGTAGCTCATGAAGTCCTCCTCCTCCTCATCACTAGATAACCAAACCAAATTTGAATCTACACTCTCCAACATCTCTATGTCCTCCTCATTAGAATCAAAATCATCATCAGCAGTAGAAATTTCTACCCCATTCTCACCCTTTTCTTGCTCCTCCTCCTCATAACCATCAAGATTGGGGTTCTTTACCTCATTCTCGCTTTCACTCTCTATCATGCCTTTCATTTATGTCTTTGTATCTATGTTTTCTACAGATCCCACATTGAATTTGGCTAGGCTATTAACAACCTACTGAAGTTACAAATACACCATTACTTCTCTCTGCTTATTTTAGTTATGATTATGAAAATAGATGTGTTGCTAACCACCAGCGTGGACGAGGTGTTACTTTCCTTTGTTAGTGTATGCCTTACTAGAACAATTTCTCAATTTTCAATTGCCACGATAAATGATACAAAGATCCTGTATTCACCATGCAATTGGAGGGCAACAAAGGAAAGCAGCACCTCTTCCACATTGGTGGTCAGCGATGCATCCAAAGTTGTAACTAAAATAAATGGAGAAAGTAATGGTGTATTTGTAACTTCACTAGAGCATAATAACTTGGCCAAATTTGATGTAGGATTTGTAGAAAACATAGAAGCGATTACGATATATATTACGATATATAGATCGGGGCCGCCAGCCCACTAAATGGAACTGGGCTTCCACTGAGGATCCAAGAAATGTATTTCTTGGGCTTCTCATGCTGCGCTTGGATTGGATTTGTCTAAAACAAGATTACGATACACACACATGAAAAAGTGCTTCTTAACTTTATTTTTTAAATATTAGGAGAAAAATTATCTTAAAATTATATCGTTTCAATAATTTTTTATTAAAAAAGA